CCCGCGTTCTTTATACAATGTTACAGAAATTTATATACTATTTATATGAAATCGCGTGTGTGCGCTAGTGCAGCCGTGGCGCAATGGTTACAACGCTTGCTTTATAAACAGGAGATCTCCTGCTTATAAAGCAAACTTCGAAACGAGCTCTAGACATATTTTCGCGTCAAGGTAAGGAAGTAGGCGTGAACTTCCTGGTTAACTGCACATTCCCCATGCTCTGTGGTAAGACCGTTAGGTTTTCTTGGGGCACCTAAATAACAAAAAAAAAAAAAAAAAAAAAATCATTAGTGAATTTTTGTTTTTATATGTATATTCACTGTTAACGAATCTTTATTATGTAAGAACTAAGTTATAATATTAAGTTAGCAGATCCCCTTAAAATAAAGTTGCTTAAACTAATGCTATTAAACACCAATTGCAATTAGGTTTTATTTGATACCAATTAAACATTTATTTTTAATTGAAAACTTTGAAAAAAAAAAAGTAATTAAGGACTAATTAGACAATTAAGCAGCCATTTTAAAAAATTTTCAAACGTGATTACACAAGTTTTACAAATGCTGTAGACTTCAAATTTTCAGGGTATGTTAGTAGCACTATTAACTAAGGTTTCTACCACTTTTATGTAAAAATTATAAATTCTTTAAAAGATAATCAATTTTTTCAAAAATTATTAAAATGAAGTACACAAAAAAAAAAAAAAAAATTATACTTTAAATGAAAATTGAACTTTCATTGAGGTACAAACCCTAGATAACATAACAAGGAACATTTGCTGAAAATTTCAAATCAAAATCTATAATAGAAGTTGAGAAAACGCGTTTTATGTATCAAAAAAATTTAAAAAATAAAACACAAGAAAAATGCTCCTAAAGATTTTGTAACTAAAAAATAATAAATTTTTTATCATTCTAAAAAGCACCAGCAGAATATGATGCTCTTTCTTCATTTTCTTTATCTATGAATCCTTTTTTCATAGCTCTTAGTAACTTTCTTCTGCTAATACCTGCTGTTGAAGTCTTTTTTGTCATATAACCTATTCGAGTCTTATTTTTTTAAATTGTCCCTATGTCCATAAATCGACCGGTCTTTATCTGTAGTTTTTGAAAAACTTCATATATCCCACTAGCTCCATCATTAAACTCTAAAACAGCAGATGCTACAGCTATTTCAAGAATATTTCGACTTACATAAACATCTTTAGGACATTTTTTCCAAATGAAATTATTAATTGCTTCATTATTATTTTGTGTCTGTCCATGCAAACATTTAGATAATAATTCATCTCTGCTCAAGTCTTGAAAGATGGGTTTTAAAATTTCATTTATTGCTAATGGAAGATTTAATTTAGCTTTGTAAGTTGATTTACCTGTTAGTTTATTTGACTGCCACATGCACCAGCTATTTACCTTTCGAGGACAAAACTTATGTTGTTCAGTTTCATCAAGAATATCTGAGTTATGGAAAAGTGTTGCCCAAATACCCTTTTTCATTTCATAAATGCTGTTAAGATTTTGCCTTATGGCAGTACCATAATAATTCTGCAAAGTATTTATAGCTTTATCAGTTAATCGTCCTTTACCCAATATTTTTCCCCCATCCGACAATACATTTAATTTCATTGATTGGCGTAAGTTTCGCAGTCGTGTTCCCATACGCTTTTGAACATGTCCGACACATTCTTTTTTATTAATAGTAACATTAGGTCCATATGGTTGAGATTTGTTAACATCATTGTACGAAGATGTATCTCCATCTCCTATATAAGATGTATACCTTAGTTTATTCTTCTCCACAGATCGTCCAAACATTTCAATAGCACCTTACAGATTCCATTGATCCTGATGATTTTATATGGTTAATGAGACAAATGTGATTATTTTGCCAGTTATTATAACCAGGTTCATTTTTTCTTTTGTTCCAATATTCACAACCTTTACATTGTTTTGATAAAACAAAATGGTCAACACATTTTTGATTATTTGTTGATATCAAAGTAACAACACCATTTATGGATGTGTGACCTCTTTTTTGCCATGTTCCATCAACAGAAACATGGCAATCAACAATACTTGTATTATCACTGATGATATCCATCAAAACAATATCATGTGTCTCTTTTGCAGCCTTTGACATGGAAGTACTAGCTGCTTCGACATAAGCACTGTGAAGTAATTTTGTTATTTTACCATAGTTTTTTTTTGTCATCGGTCTTGGCATATTCATGCAACGATTAAATGCTTCTATGGAAGTATATCCTTTTCCTATTTCTCTAAAAGCAACAACAACTTGTGTATTAACTTCTGCACTTCTTTTAATTATTGCTGAAGTTTTAAATGTGTCTATAATTTTATCACAGCTTTCACAAAAAATTTCAAGTTGAAAACAAAATCCCATTTTTTTCCCAATGTTATCATGCAAAGTAATTTTATTTCCACATTCAGGACAAAAAACATACTTACTAAATATTTTTTTTAATATAGAAAAGTTCATAATAAAGTTATAATTGTTCTTGTAATCTTCATTGTTACACTCAATATTTTGAGTAGTTTTCGTTTTCGAAAATAACTTTTTTGCACTTGTACAACTTGCAATTGGCGATGAAGGTAAACTATTTTTTTGTTTATCATTGCATGTGTACTGATTTCCTTTAAACTTGTATTTACGTTTTCTAATCGTACTGCGAGTCATTTTTTTTTGTTTGTTTAAAAGTTGCTTTTAGAAGCTTTCAAATATAGTCAATACTGTGATTCTAATTTGTAATGTTCAAGCTGTGGAGTTTATCCTAAAGTTGTTTTGAGCACTGGTACAAACATTAGGCAAACAAGATTCTTTTAAGACTAAAGTTTCCTCCAAAAAGCTGATTAGAAAGTTAAAAAACCAACAATCAAACCCGTTGCTATGGTGGTAACTAGGGAAGCCTGAAAAACTATGGTCCACTAAAACAAAAATATTTAAAAAACTAAATTGAATTATAAGAAACTGTTTTCATATTGATAATCTCCGTTAAATTTTGAATAAAAATCAAGTAAAAAAAAAAAATTGAATTTTTTTTGATTGATCTGCTACCTTAAGGAACAAAAAATAAATTTAAGTTAAAAAAATAGTAAAAAAAGATTATATGCAAACCAATTCAGAAAAATTCAGATTGGTAGCAATTTTTATATACAAAATGCTATCAATCCAAGTCTTTAAGGTAAATTGATTGAGAAAATTATTAACATAATTTCACCATCTGATTACAGGGCCAACGATACCGGGAGGGAAGGCAGCCCCCCCTTTTTTTTTCTAAAGAATTTTTTAAACAAGCATCCGAAGCAGTGCGTAATAATACCTAAACGAGACACTGAAAAAGTTTGCTATTTCCGAAAAAAATATCCAACGTGGTGAAAAATTAAGAGCTATAGTTGTTGAGTACAGTTCAATAAAAATGTAAGAAAGATTTTTATTTGTATTTAGTAATTGAAGTTAAAAAGATTTTTTTTTTCATTTGGTTGCTAATGTTTTGGAGGACAGTGTTAATGGAATGAGAGAACATCTTCATTAAAAACAAGACTTTTATTATTATTAATTTGAGAAAGTGATTTTATTGTATTATTAGGTTGTACTTTACATATGTTCTCTCTAACAAATGTGCTCAGTAAGTTGTTTTTTAAAAAAATTTAGATTTACATTATGTAAAAAATTGTTAAAAAGATCTGTAATTGTTTTAAAACAAAAAGGAGAAAACTGCGAAGAAATGTTTGAGGAATTTTTTTAAAGCAGCTGAGTAATTAATAAATTATTAAGATGGTAGTTTTACCTAAGAAAGAATAGTGCAACGACAAACATGCTGTAAATATATCATCAGAAATAACGAAAGAATATTATATGCGATCATTTTATATGCCTCTTCCTGATACACTGTTATCGGACATAAATACACATTTTCTAAAAGAAAATCTGTCTTCAATCTGTTCTTTGATGTCAAAAAATATTATTACACTGAATCATAAAGATATTGTTGAAACTTTTTCTGCAATCAGTCGTGTCTATGCCGTCATTCTTGGACTAAATATCTAAAACAAACAAGCACCTGAATTTACATCAGAAGTTAAACTGTGGCAGTGCAAATATATAAGGGGGAAGGATGAGGGAGGAATCATATCACTGCCTACTTATCTTTTTGTTGTTTTCGATTTGCGTGACCAGGAACAACATCCAATCACTCACAAGTTGTTTCAAGTTATAAAGTTATGTCCTGTAAGTGTGACCAGTGATGAACGTAACATCTCAATCAATCTCAACTCTGCGAAGAATTAAAAGCAGGCTAAGAACACTAATAGCATTCTGTCATTAGTGTTCTTAGACAGTCTAGTCAGTTTTAACTATCTAAGAACAGTTTTTAATTACTTAAAGCTTTACTAAATGTATACAGAGAAATTAATGTTGAAAACGTAATTGAACGATTTGCAAGTCGAGAATTTTAATTTATATTTAGAATTTTTAATTTAATTTTTAAAATAATTAACAAATCAAAGTTTTGAAGTACTTATTTATTTAATAATAAATACGTATTTATTTGAACAAGTCTCTTATTTTTTGACAAATAGTTGTGTCTATAAAATAAAAATATATAATAAAATGGATGGATAAATAAGAAAGGAGGGTTGGGAGAGGGAATTGCCCCCCCCCTCTATTTCCTATGGATCCACCCTTGCTCGTCCTACAAACGATATTTGATTGCATCTAAATAAATTGAAGATGAATGTGCTTTGCTGCACCTAGCCATAAATAAATCAGCCAATTTATGTACACTTTTGCTTCATCCATCTATTAATAAATCTAAATATTTAAACTAATACTGATGCAATCGAAAACCTTTTACTAGAGATTAAAAACTGGGAGTAAAAATTTTATATTACATGGGTGTTGAACTGTTTTTCCGTAATACTTTTTTTTTTTTATCGCAAACTTTACTATTCGTCTCTCGACAATAAACAACAACAACAAAAAACTTAAAATCAAAACTGATATTTTTAATACAAAATTTGACTAAAATTTCAAAAATTATTTATTTTCGAATTTTTTAATATTCTTGATATCAACCATTTGCATGCATAGTTTATTATGTTCACCATTAAACTTGTTAAGACGCAAAATATACACAACACAAAACGCAAACTAAGATAAATACCATGTAAAACGCATATTAGGATAAATATCATGTAATAATTAAATGCAATAATAAAATCGATAATAAAAATAATAAAAAGTAATATACAATAATAAAATAACGCCAGGAACAACAACATAAAATGTGTACCAAAAACAAAATCATACGCCAAGAACAACAACATAAAATATACGCCGAGAACAACAACATAAAACGTACGCGAAAAAGATTAACAAAATGTACACCAGTAACAAAAGTTTTATAATTGATTAATCTCTTTTAGCATCATTTATTAAAAAATTATTAAAAAACTAAATTAAATTTTCAAGAAAATTAGAATGATTTTAATGAATGAATGGAATAAAGGGTTAAATAGTAGATATTAGTAGATAGTTTTTACTTCAAGTTTCACGGACATAACTGAATCCTAACTTTTGAGATCAAACTCGGCATAGCAACTCGTGAGTTTCTTGAGTAACATTTTTGTATTGTAAATCAATTTCTTTTAAACGTTCATTCAACTTCTTGATTCTAAACACGTAATTTTTAGACTAAAACAGTTATACACATTAGAATACTATAGCAATTAAAAATTAGAACGCACATAGTTGCAATTAATGCGTATTAAATAAAATCTACCTGGCCATTTGCTGAAGCTTGGTTTTTTTTTTGTTCTTGTAAAATTCATAAATACATGTGTCGGACGTGGTCATTAAAATTTCTAACGATTTTAACATTTCTTTGTATGCTTGTTTTTCTTGTTCATACTTCTCTAACATTGAAAACACGTCACTTTCATCAAGCTTGTTAGTAATACAGTTTATTTTGATGACGTCAATATTTTTTTCCGACCCTAATGCAACATCACTAGAGCGGATTGTTATAATAGAGCGTTCACTATTAACTTTATTCGATAAAAGAATATCTGGTGGTGGATATGTTGGCGAGACACAGCGTTTAAATGAAATGTCAGGGCATTCGTTTATCCTGTCAGAGATATGCTCAGTTTTTTTTTCTTTTGAGTCATTCGTTGAAATATTAAAAAAATTTTCACAAGAGTGATTCGAATCGTTGTCATTAGATATGGCTATAAGAAATTTAAATAAAGAAATAAAAATAAAAATTTTAATATTATAAGAAACTTTCTGGTGAACTAAAAGTTGAAAACATTTTTTTTGGGCTCGTTAACAAAACGAGAGTCTTCTCCATAAATTTTATTTGTCGTAAACGCAGACACTTCACAGGGGGTTGCTTTTCACAAATCTTAAAATATATTTTGTGCTCCTATACTAACTTGTGATGTTATTTACAAAAAAGCTGTTCTTTCTTTAAAGTGGAGGGCATAATTCTGTATTTCAAATATAGTTTTGAGTATTATTTTAATTTTATCACAATATCATTTTTTTATAACCAATACATAAGTACAGAACCTCATAATTTTGCGACTAAAATAAAAATAGAATAAGAAAAATGCTAAAAAATAACAACTTTAAATGACCTGTTTTATTTAACTTTTCCGATTTTAGTTCATCCAAGTCGTCTAAATCTCCTTTTCTAGGATCATTATAAATAAGTCCCGCATTCAACATTTCCATAGTGAAGCTTTTCCGAGTATCAGTTGAAAATAATTCCACAGAAACCTCCCCGGTTGAACTTTCATTAAGAAAATTTATGTATATTGGCTAAAAACAAAAAAAAAATCGTCTATTAAACATTAATAGGCCTAAAACAAAAAAGTCAATAAAAAAATATACTTTGAAACGATTATATAACTTGGGAAATAACACTTAAAAAGTACTCTACTTTGAAACGATTAGGAAATAACACTAAAAACTTACTTTGAAACGATTATGAACTTAAAAACTTACTACGCCTTTTAATCTTTTAAGAAAATCAGTTGCTGCATCCTGGAAAAACAACCCTTCACAAAGCGCTAAAGCTGCTGGCCTAGCATGATAAGGTCTATCACATATTGTTTGATTGATCTCAAATAAAGAAGATGCATCAACTTGTTGCCTAAATCCATAGTCAACATGAAAAATCTCAACCTAAATAGTTCGAAAAATATTTTTTTCATCTCATTTCACAAATTGTTTCACAATATTATTAAACTTTTATATTGGTATTCAGTAAATATTTTGTAAAAAATATGCCAAAATAAAAAGGCTATTTTTTGAATTCTGTGATTTTCTTAATTATTGTATTATTAATTCGAAATATAACTAATAGAAAATGTGCAGCAATTATGTACCGTAAAAAAACAAACACACAAAAACATAAATATAAGTGTGCTGCCTAAATAAATTTACTGCGTAGGTAAGCTTACTGTATAAGTAAGTTTTAGGTGTGAATAAGTGTACTGTGTAGATAAGCTTATTTGGTAAGTAAGTTTTAGGTGTAAATAAGTGCACTTTGTAAGTATGCTTACTGTATAAGTAAGTTTTAGGTGTGAATAAGTGTACTGTGTGAGAATTTTATTATCATTAAACCAATTTTAAAAACCATAATAAATTTTATTAGTTATTTAATATTTAATACAATAGCAATAACTAATTAAAAATAATACAAACATACAGACTACAATATACATGCACACAAACATAAATACACGCATATTATTGGGTATTTTGAAACGTATATATATATATATATTTTTTTTTTAATTTAATTCACCTCCTCAAGGCTCAGAAGGCCACTACAGACGAGGAGGCTACTTATTTGTGGTTATAACCCTCTCTCAACTCTATAACTCCGAAACACAAACCTTGACGAACAAGGCCGCTGCGCGGAGAAACGAGTTGAGCGCGGTACTACCAGGGACGTGAATATATATATATATATATATATATATATATATATATATATATATATATATATATATATATATACACACACATAAATATATACACATACATACACACACACACACATATATATATTTTTTAAATATAAATACACCACATATGTAAACACAAAAAAACTATGAACAAATTTTGAGATAGAAATAGATTTTTTTGTATTGAAAGTTTTAAAAATATAAATAATATTCTATGCATTTTAAAATATATTTGGAAATAGGTTTCATACCAAAGCAAGTCAAAAAAATTTACACACGCAACAATTATACACTTTTTTGCAATTGATCAAGATTAGCAAGTCCTATTTTAACTTATTTAATATTTAATTTATATTTTTTTTCACCATAATATTACTATTATCTGCTATGAAATTGATTAGGGTTGTATAATTTTGTAGTTTATTGATTAGGGTTTTATGATTAGGGTTGTAAATTACAGCTTTGAAAAATTGGTTAAAAAGAAAAAGTAAAAATTTTAAATACACACAAAAAAAAAAAAGGCAATTCTAGTTCTTTAATCGAAAAGAAAACATTTTATAAGACTAAAAAAAAAAATTTAAGAAATTAATTTGATTTCCAAGATTATAAATATTTTGTAATTATTTTGAAATTGTTGCATAAATTTATAATAGTTGTTGCGTAGATATGTAATAGTAAAGATAAAAAGTGTTATATAAATTTCTACAAAATATATTGTTAGCATCGTCGATTATTTCGAGTTTGTAGAGGAAGTAAACTCTAATATTAGAGAAACAAAATGAATATATGAAAAGCCAAACAAAAAAAAAAATTAATATTATTTAAAAACAAGTGTAGAATGTCTTTTTTTTTTTTTTGCAATATATTGATCAAAAATGAGTTTCTGGTACAAAAAGTGCCAAAAAATCCTCACTCAAAACCTAGACGTAAATTAAGATTATAATATATATAAAAAAATTATATAATCAACATTATATTCAACATAAACAACTTAATAAATTAAAAAATATATATAGTATGTGCATAGTAGATGCATTGTAATGATTTGTACTGTGTCATAAAATCATGCATCAATAGATACGAGCATAAAAAAGTAATTTCTGAACTTATGTCAAACTAGTTCTTTACTCCAAATTACTAATGACAGGCAAATAACTATAGACAGGAATTATCTCTTTGATAGTTTTCTCTTTTGCAAAAATATATAAATACAGCAACTTATGTTATTGTGATTAATTACATTTTTTTAAATATCTTTGAGTTTATGTTATATGTTTGTTTTTGTTTGTAAAATAGTGGGAAATACACATCTTGTTTTACTTAATTCAAAAACAAAATATTAAAAAATTATGCATAATAATATGACAATACATTTACAATTTATTATACAACAATATTCTATAATTATCATTTATTTAAAATTTATTATAAATATTTA